AAAAAAAAAAAATCTGGGGAAGGGTGGGTTTTACTTCAGGCATGGCTGGATCCAGGTATGGCTCAAGGGTGCTTTTAGGACTCCATCTGAGACCAGGCCTGGTGTGTCTCACGCTTGTAATTCCAGAGCTTTGGGACGCCAAGATGGGAGGATTGCTTGAGGCCAGGAGTTTTGGGCAACATAGCGAGACCCCATCTCCATATCAAAAACGAAAAAGACTCAGGCCAGGCTCGGTGGCTCATGCCTGTAATCCTAACACTTAGGTGTTAGGTGTTAGGAAGGCCGAGGCAGGCAGATCACTTGAGGTTAGGTTTTGGCCAACATGATGAAACCCCATCTCTTCTACAAATACAAAAAAAAATTAGCCAGGCATAGTGGTGCACACCTGTAATCCTAGCTACTCAGGAGGCTGAGGTGGGAAGATTGCTTGAACCCAGGATGCAGAGGTTTCAGTCAGCCAAGATCGTACCACCAGGCACACGCCAGCCTGGGTGACAGAGTGAGACTCCTTCTCAAAACATAAACAAAAGACTCTATCTCTCTCGTCTCTCTCCATCTCTAGTCTCTGTGTTGGTGTCACTGTCAAGCAGTCCTGCCCCTTGTGGTATAAATCCGGGATTATTCAGCCCTAGGTATACATCCTAACAGGTTATCAGAGCCAATGGGACACAGGCCCCTTTCTCCCAAGAGTTCTAACAAAAAGTCTTAGGAGAGCTTGCATTAGTTCACAGTGGATTCCATCATTGCTCAGCCAATCACTGTGGCCCCAGGGTATGCAGGGATCTAATTGGCCACATGCATGTGACACACCTATCCCAGGGCCAGGAGTGGGGTCAGCCCATTCCAAAGACTTAGACTGAAAAAGAGGAGAAAGGGTCGCCCTTACCAGACGCAGGGTCATGGATGCTGATAGGCAAAACCAAGACTGGCTCTAATAAGGTTCCTGTCTTACTTATGTCAATGCCCTCCAGCCAGAGACCACCAGGAGTCCCTCTGTGGTCAAACCAAGTTGGGTTTGGTGGCTCTTTACACACACCATGGGGAGCTGTGGGGGCATCTCAGCAAGAAAGTATGATGGGGGGCCGGGCGCAGTGGCTCACACTTGTAATCCCAGCACTTTGGGAGGCCGAGGCAGGTGGATCCCATGAGGTCAGGAGTTCGAGACCCGCCTGGCCAACATAGTGAAACCCCATCTGTACTGAAAATACAAAAAATTAGCTGGGCATGGTGACGCATGCCTGTAATCCCAGCTACCCAGAAGGCTGAGGCAGGAGAATTGCTTGAATCTGGGAGGTGGAAGTTGCCGTGAGCCTAGATCGTGCCACTGCACACCAGCCTGAGCAACAGAGTGCGACCCCATCTCAAATAAATAAATATATATATATGATTGGGGGCTTATTATAGAATTTGGGCTTGTGTTAGGTGATTTGTAAGATGATTCAGTGTAGTGAGTTGTGCTGTGGATTGGATGATGTCAGAATATGGGGGTGACTAGGTGATCGGGCATCTTAATCATTTTGATCTAGGTGGTGGGAGGAACAGAAGGAGGCTGTTGCAGTCATTGGCAGCTGTCATTCATCTTAGCCAGCGAGGGGGATGCATGGTCATTTTTTTTTTTTTTTTGAGACGGAGTCTCGCTCTGTCGCCCAGGCTGGAGTGCAGTGGCCGGATCTCAGCTCACTGCAAGCTCCGCCTCCCGGGTTTACGCCATTCTCCTGCCTCAGCCTCCCAAGTAGCTGGGACTATAGGCGCCCGCCACCTCGCCCGGGTAGTTTTTTGTATTTTTTAGTAGATTCGGGGTTTCACCGTGTTAGCCAGGATGGTCTCAATCTCCTGACCTCGTGATCCACCCGTCTCGGCCTCCCAAAGTGCTGGAATTACAGGCTTGAGCCACCACGCCCGGCCTCTGGTCATTTTTGTGGTTTGCACAGTGATCTTGATTTTGTCTGTGCTCAGGCATGATTATGGAGTGAGCTTGGTTTTGTCCTACTCCATCATGGTCAGAGTGGCCCCATCTGATATGAGTGTTCTGTGAGATTTTATTATTATTATTATTATTATTGTTTATTTTGTTTATTTATTTTTTTAGACACTTGATCTCTATGTTACCCAGGCTGGTCTTGAACTCCTGGGCTCAAGCAATCCTCCCGCTTCCACCTCCCAGAGTGTTGGGATTACAGGTGGGAGCCACTGTCCCTGGCCATTTCTGTGAGATTATTATTTTTATTTATTTTATTCTTTTTGAGATGGAGTTCTGCTGTTGTTGTCCAGGCTGGAGTGCAATGGCGCGATCTCAGCTTACTGCAACCTCCGCCTCCTGGGTTCAAGCGATTCTTCTGCCTCAGCCTCCTGAGTAGCTAGGATTATAGGCATGCGCCACCATGTCCCGCTAATTTTATATTTTCAGTAGAGACTGGGCTTCTCCATGTTGGTCAGGCTGGTCTCGAACTCCTGACCTCAGGTGATCTGCCTGCCTCAGCCTCCCAAAGTGCTGGGATTACAGGTGTGAGGCACCGCGCCCAGCCTGTGAGATTATTTATACTCCTCAGAACACCCTGAGTGCTGATGGCAGTCAGGACTGCTTTTTATCTTTCTCATTGATGAAGTAACTGAGGCCCAGGCCATGGAGCTGATAAGAGGGTCTTGACGCTGGTCCATATCTCTCCGTTAAGATGTTTTCCTCCTTTATCTGGAGCCCACAGCCCTTTGGAATCTTGGAGCATTATTAGAAAAGGGACAACCTGTCTGGCTTGCAGGCTGGTGAGGAAGTTTCTCGCCCTAGCCGACGTGGGTCACATCCTAAGTGCAAATGCTGAGGTTTCCCTCCACGCCCTGGTGTGGACATCCTGACCCTGGCTCAGCCCCCTCCCATCCCCATCTCATCTCCAGGCGAGGTTGTTGGGACCCTCTCCTTCAACTTAGCTAGGTTTGTCTCGGGAAGCTCCCTTTGCCCTCGCCTTGTGAGTTCTTGGCTCCTGTGACAATCAGCAGCCCCGAGAATACAACAGAGGGGACGGTGTGGGGAGTGCGAGTGTGGGCAGTGCGTTGTCATGGGGATGGGAGGCAGCGCTGCCTGATGGGTGGTCCAGAGTGTGAGCTCCTGATGGACCACTTCTTAGCTGATCCTAGGGCAATCCTTCCTCTCTCTGAGGCTCAGTCTCTTCATCTGGAAAATAGGGCTGATAAGGATACTGGCCTCACAGGATGGTTGTAAGAATCAAATGACATTGTGTGAGAGTAAGGGCTGGGTACATGGAAGCTGTTTTTTTGTTTTGTTTTGTTTTGTTTTCTAAGACAGACTCTCGCTCTGTTGCCCAGGCTGGAGTACAGTGGCTCTATCTTGGCTCACTGCAGTCTCAACGTCCCTGGCTCAAGTGATCTTCCCACCTCAGCCTCCCGAGTCGCTGGGACTACAGGTGCACGCCACCACGCCCAGCTAATTTTGGTATTTTTGGTAGACATGGGGTTTTGCCATGTTGCCCAGGCTGGTCTCAAACTCCTGACCTCAAGTGATCTGCTCGCCTCGGCCTCCCAAGGTTAAGTTAGGATTACAGGCATAAGCCATTGTGCCTGGCAAGAAGCAGTTGTTTTTGTAACTATTATTCAGTTGGATACCTTGTGGTTTGAGTCAACATCAGTGAATATCCAGAATTACAGAAATCCCGCATTCCACCTAGGGCAGTGTCTCTCTCTCACTTTTATGATCCAGTAAGAAATACACAGCCAAGCAGTGGCTCATGCCTGTAATCCCAGTACTTTGGGAGGCCAAGGTGGGTGAATTGTTTGAGCCCAGATATTCGAGACCAGCTAGTGAGACTCCATTTCCACAAAAAACTTAGAAAAAAAAATTAGCCAGGCATGGTGATGTGGGCCCATAGTCCCAGCTACTCAGGAGGCTGAGATGGGAGGATCACTTGAGCCCAGGAGTTGGAGGCTGCAGTGAGCCATGATCGTGCCACGCACTCCAGTCTGGGTGATAGAGTGAGACCCTATCTCTAAAATAAAAAAATAAATGCACTTATCTCATGACTCACAGTTCACATGCATACATAGACACACACACTAACACAGAGGTTTTATAAAACAATATTTTCAGGCTGGGCGCGGTGGCTCACGCCTGTAATCCCAGCACTTTGGGAGGCCAAGGAGGGCGCGGATCATGAGGTCAGGAGTTCAAAACCAGTCTGGCCAACATAGTGAAACCCCGTCTCTACTAAAAATACAACAACAAAAAAAAGCTGGATGTGGTGGCAGGCACCCGTAATCCCAGCAGTTTGGGAGGCCAAGGTAGGCGGATCACTTGAGGTCAGGAGTTTGAGACCAGCCTGGACAGCATGGTGAAACCCCGTCTCTACTAAAAATACAAAAATGAGCCAGGCATGGTGGTGGGCACCTGTAATCCTAGCTACTGGAGAGGCTGAGACAGGAGAATCGCTTAAACCTGGAGGTGGAGGTTGCAGTGAACTGAGATCGCGCCACTGCACTCCAGCCTGGGCAACAGAGCAAGACTCTGTCTCAAGAAAACAAACAAACGAAAAACAAAGAAGTTTCATTTGACTCAGTTCTGACATAAGCACAATTTTCACTCAAATATACAGAATCTGAGATGCTCTGAATCCATCCATCGTTCAGTCAACAAATCACTACATTCACTAGGCTACAGCTCTGGGTGCCACCCTCTGCTAGGCAGTGATTGGGATAGGGTGTGACAGTCCCAGGTCCTGTCCTTAAGGAGCTCTCAGTCCAGCGGGGGAGACAGGACAAAGCAATGACAACACAGAGTAGTCAGGGCTGGGATGGGGAAGCAGAGCAGCCTGAGAGGATCCAGGAGGAGCCTGCTCCAGCCTTGGGGTGTTAGGGAAGGCTGCCTGCAGGAGGAGCCGCGTGACCCGGCACCTGATGAAGTCACACCAAGGACAGGGTAGGTAGCCCGCACCATCCTCTCTTGGGCGCCCCTTGGCTTGTGACCAATCCTGGATGCTCCCCTTCTCCTGGCTCAGGCTACCAGCCCTGCGACCCGCAGGTCATCTGCAACCGCGTGAACCACGTGCACGGCTGCTTGGCGGAGCTGCAGGAGCAGGCGGCGCGGCGACGGGCAGAGCTGGAG